GGTTCAGCAATTCATTACGAAAAAAATTAATATCGGGCCGGGGACCCACATATCACCCCGGAGTCACTCTGGCAGCCTTAGCCAGTTTCGCTTATGGTTTCATTCACTTCCAAAATTTCCCAACCAATTAGGACCTTCACTTCCTATATTCATACCTTAACGTATTAACTACCTTATCTTACTTTTACTCTACCTACCTTCCCCCACAGGCCTACCATCGGCCCGGTACCGACCCAAACGTCGGTTGGAACACCAGTGTTCCTCAGTAGCATGCCACTCTACCACCCTCCTCCCCTGTTTGCCTACTGCGGCTGACTCAGTAAAAATCCAACCGAGTGGACCTGGTTGGTAGTTTCCCTATCCTACTGCACGTAGTATCCGTCCTACTATCGTCGATGCATCCCATCGTACTCACTTATCCACTGGCCCCACACCAAACGACTCCCCTGAGAAATGTCAACTATCCTACTGTTCTGGGCCCAAGTTCTTCTAAACCATTCTCTTCCCCTGATTGACTCTCCCCTGTTTGCTTTCCTTATCCAATCGGCCTTTATTTCCTCTGTCAGGCGTTGTTTAAACATTATTTCTGCCTGTTGGTCCGATGTCCTCTCTTCCAGGAACCTCCTTCCATTCCTGTCTTTCCAGATCACGCTCATCAAACAAGCCCTTGCCACTTGAGCAACATACCCCCATCCCTGTTTTATTGATAGATCTTGAGGCAGAAGTCCTGACAGCGCCCACCGCTCGCCCATAGGATCATTTCTTCCAGTGATTTCCTTCCAATGGAATAACCACCATTTCCACCACTTATAAGACCTTGGGCACGCCCACCACAGATGCCTTTCATTTTCATAGAACCACCCACAGTAATCGCACTTTGTTGGTACATCTGCCATCCCCCTTTCCTTTAGCCACATTGCTGTTGGCGTTGCAGAATGTGCCTGTAGCCACAGCAGTGAAGCCCACTTTTGTGAGGGTATCAACTGCAGCTGCTCCCACAATCGCTCATATTCCTCTTGTTCTGGGGCTTCTAATCTGCATCTGTGTTTCTCCCATTTACTCATAAGTTTAGTTGACATTCTCTGCACTCTTTGCATTACTCTAGTCGCTAATCCATAATCTAGCTTCTGGATCCTTGTTACTGTCTTACCTCCTATTTCCCAACCCCAACCCTCTGGATCGATACGTAGTCTCCGTACCTCTGTACCCTTTGCTACCAGTGAGATTTTACTGTTTTCTCCCCCACTGCAATGAATCCTGCATTCTGCCATATCGTTCACTCCCATTCTTTCAATCGTACCAAAGCTCTGTAGACTGTTCTCCTCTAACTGTTTTTCTTCATAAACCTCCAACACGCATTTCCCGGGTGGGTGCTCCTCCCATGACTGGATTTTGTAAAATCTCTTCTTTTGGTCTTCAGACTTCGTGTACCATGTACCCGGGGGGGTTATTCCTTCTGGTCCAATAAGGTGCTTCCAATCTTTCGGTATTGCCTGGATGAGGGCCTTTCTTCTCTCCTGCTGCAGAAGGAGCTGTCCCAACGTTTGCTTGATCAGGTTTACTGCTCTCCAAGTGTTAGTCTCCTCATCCCACAGATCCCTTATGGTGGCTATCCCCCTTTGCATCCATCTATACCCGAAATTCCCTGCACCTACTTCTGCTGTAAACATATTTCCCTCCGGGTCTCTAATGCTCGGATTATCGAATAACTGTTGAGCTAACACCTGTTGTTTCGAGCTCGGTTCCTTAATAACCCTTGGTTTTAAGGTTTTCCAAGCTGTTATCACCTCCTTCCAAAAGCGAGATTTGACTCTCTTGTTCAGGAATGCCTCCGATAGCATCGCCACCCATACGTCCTGCGGTCTGTTTAGACCCCACTCCCTCATCAAAATCTGTTCCGCCAGAAGAACCCAGTCTTTGTGTGGCTCTGCCTCTGCGATCTTGCGTATCCAACTGCTCAGTTGTACCTTGTTCTGCAGCCCTGGGTCCGTAATCCCCAGTCCTCCATCCTCTCTTGCTATACAGATATCTTCCCATGCTATTTTTGACAAGTAGCCCTCCTCCTTTTTCCCGTAAGGCTTCCATAGGAACCTTCTTGCCTCATTACAGATAGCTTTCAGCAGATGCTCTGGGAGTCTTCTGATTACTGACACGAACCACAGTATAGCGAATGCAGAGCAGTTTATCGCCAATGCCCTTCCGATGAGCGACAGGTGCCTTGCAGGGCCCCAGCTTCTGATGCGTGTTTTAACCTTCTCTTCCAGTATAGTTGCTTGAGAAGACGAACAATCTCCTAATGCCACTTGAATCCAAAGGTATCTCTCTGTTTCCCCACTATTTGCTCTTTTCATTCCCCAGTCTGTACTTAACTGATAAGAGTCAGGTAAAAAAAAGACTGACTTTGACCAATTTACTGCCACCTCTGACAATTCCGCATATGTCAATAGACACAGCTTCAATGCTTCTAACGAACCCGGTTCGTTTGCTGAAATAGCGAGCAGGTCATCGGCCAATGCCTTGACCTTACAGTTGACAGTTTCGGTGATCTGCAGTGCCCTAATCGCGTTATTTGTTCTAATACTGTTAATTAACACTTCCATCTGCACTACAAATAACAGAGGTGCAAGGGGACAACCCTGCCTTAATGATCTTGACAGACTGAATTCTTCTTAGCACTGACCGTTAACCATGACTGCTGCTGAGGAGTAAACAGACAAGACTTTGACCCATCTACAAAAGTTTTGCCCAAATCCCATTCTACGTAGGGTCGTCATCACAAATGCCCAGTTAACCCTATCATAAGCTTTTTCCAAATCTAACATTAGAATGGCTATATCTAAATCTCCTTCCTCCACCACTTCCAAGGTTTGAATAGCCATAAGAATGTTTTCAAAGATTGATCTTCCACGAACAAAGGCTCCTTGTTCGCTGCCCACCAACTTTGGCAGCACTGGCCCGAGTCTCTTTGCTAATGACTTCGCAAGTATCTTGTACACAACGTTCAGAAGGGAGATCGGTCTCCAATTCTTCACTTCTGCTACATCTCCCTTTTTGAACTGTAGTGTTATGATACCCCTAGTCATTGTTTTGCCCAGTCGCCCTCCTTGTAGAATGTTATTATACACTTGTACTAGGTCTGCTTCCAACACCTCCCAGCAGCATTCATAGAATTCGACAGGTAGGCCGCCGTCTCCCGGTGCTTTACCTCTGGCCATCTCTTTCAGCGTCTGTCTTAGCTCTTCCTCTGTTATCGGTCTGTCAAGACTCATTCTCTGTTCCTCCGTCAGAGTCACTTGCAAATTGTCCCATAAAGTGGAGATTTCAGACATGTCTGTATCAATGTCTTCCCAGTGTCTTCTTGACGTAAGTATGTCCTGAAAATATACCTTGGCATATTCACTCATTTCCCCGAGTGATTTTGCTACTGGCATAGCAGGTAGGAGCGGGTGCTTTAGTTCAGACATAGTTACCATTTTCCTCTTCGGTAGCAGTTTCTTGAACATGTCTTTCGTCAATCGGTCCGCCGCAATAATCCCCTTTACCGAGAGGATATCTTCCCACCTCTTTTCCTTTGCGCACTGCAGTTCTTCCCACTGTTTTAGTCTCCTCTCTCTTTCTTGCGTCCAGAATAGGACAGATATAGGATGGCCCGTGATATTCTCCTCTGCTTCCTCCACCTTCTCCCTCAAATCTCTTTCTTCCTTGTTTCGATTGTAGGCAGCTATCACTGAGAAGACATCTAGCTTGCAAGATATTCTCAAGCCTGCGTCTAACCATTCTTCTTTGGATTCAAAAAATTGCTCTGCATCTTTCCAACTCTGCCAAAACGTTTCTACCTAATTGATCACTCCTTTATTCTCCAAGTTTGCTGTGTTGAGCCTAAATAAGCCTGGTCCTCGCTTCACAGCTTCTCCTGCATTGAACTCCAGGATCACGGGTTTGTGATCTGAGAATATTGCGTTCTGTGTTTTGACGTTGGTTGTCCTTGTAGCTGCTTCCTCCGATATCAGGAAGTAGTCCAACCTTCTGCTTACTCCTGCTGTACGCGATGAATTCCCGAACCACGTGTAGC